AGTAAGAAATGCAAGCCACTGATTATAGGGTTTTGTGAAATGTTTTCTGTATCGTAGATTTTCTATAAATGAAGTGCATTTATAAGAAAACTATTTCCTTTATATTTTTTATAGGTCACATCATCAGTTGATCGTGGAAAGTCAACCAATTTTTCATCCTGCAGGACGATTTCGAAGCAGGAAACCAAAAGATATTGTACTAGTAAAGAGTCTACTCTTTTACCCGTAAACTCCTCTTTTCCCCTTCTTGATATATCAGTTACATTAGAACGTTTAAATGATATTCCAGAATGCAGTCATACTGATTCAGATTCATCTATTATAAATATAAGTTGCACCTCATCCGAATGTTCTTATCAAGATACCAAACGTTGGACATCAGATAAACTTGAAAATCCTGAATCAAGAAAACAAGAAATGAAAGATGGGTTTTCTCTTTCTCATGATCATTTCAAATGCAGCGAACAAGGTACTCTGTCAGATAAACATAACAAACTACATGAAGACTCTGAGCTAATTAGGAAACACCCATACTTAAATGAGCTTTCGGTTGTAGTTTCATCTACAGTCGCCGTAGATTCTAATCAGATTGAAGTACTTAAAGTGTCAAATAATCGCCGCAAACCATCTGATGCGAAAAGATACTCTAAACAGCTTGAAATTCCTGACGAGTTTTTGACTTTGCAATCTCGAAGTGAAATGGAAGCTGATGAAATTCAAGTGGATGTTTTGACAGGAGAAATATTTGTTAAGAATATACCTTTGCGATCCCTGGTTACAGGTTTGAAACGTCCACGATTTTACCAGTTAGAACTGGATCATAAAGTAAGACTTTTTGTATCCAGATTTCTTCATCGTTTTGTAGCTAATTAATCCCAAATAATTTATAGGTTACGTTATTTATATTCTTTTTCGATGTTTACTGTGGACATTTTTCGTACTATTCTGAGGCTCTTTAATACTCACCTTGACTGAAAACTGCTAGTATTTTTGAAATGGGAAGACCAACTAACGGTTAAGAAGCAACACTTGAAGATATTTTTGAATACTTATTCAGAGTTTCACTTTCAAATAGCTTCACATTGTTTCGTCACATTGAATATATCCCCAGTATCTACTATCTTGTTTTTATTCCTAAACGTTCTTAATACTCTGCAGGTATTAATCATGGCATTAAGAAATCGGCAGTGAATCATACACTTGAGTTTTATTTTCTGAATTAGACATGTTATTCTTAACGTAGAGCAACCAGAGAAACACCCAGTTATCCGTAACCGTTATCCATAGTCGGAACATTTATGAAAACATTTTATGTGTTACTTAATCTAGTGAAATGTTTATTATTTGTTCACTGTAAGCTTTCATATGACAGCAGATACCAAATCAAATCCACAACACATTTTACTTATTTACCCATAAATTTATTCTAGTAACCGATTGTCGATTTTTCTCTAGCACATGTATTTTTTAGTCATATAAATAACTATTGTTGATTACATTTTTTCACTTTTTAATAGAAATATTTGTCTCGAGGTGGTCGTTGTCAACCTTTTAGAAATTCCAAAAATCAGGATTCTTTTTCAAATAATTCAAAAAATGTACACAATGTTGGGAAAGTGATTATAACAGCTAATAAACGATCAATCAAGGGAAAGAATAATCGTTAAAGCTAATCCGAAGACATTTAATAATGCTCAAATATATTCCAATGTCTTATCATAACATTATTTGTTTAGTTGTCATAAGTTTTCTTCTTCCATCCTTCATTGATTGACAACTATCTTGTAAATAATAATAATAATGAGAACATTCTCACCCGACGAGAACATTTATTAATTATATAATATATTTCTACTATGTCTATAAGTTAAGATCAATGTTTATGTATGTGCAAGTACTTGATTGTATTTTTGTTTTATATTTTTGTATACTATTTCGATTAATGATCCTTATTAGAAATTCCATCTATATGTATATATCCTTAATTCTTCCTTTTTCTACTTTGTATATTCGTTGTATAATTTCGACAACAACAACAATAACAAATGTAGTTGTCTATTCAAAGTTTTATTCAGTTCACAGTTAAAATATATAATTATATAATAAAGTAACCAGAAACATACGTTAATTACACTGATTTTTATAAGTTTTCTTTTTACAAGTTTTTCTATTTATTTTTCAAATAATCAGAGTTAATCGGTAAATAAATTAACCTTTCACATTTCAGTTTTTTAAAGTTAACTGTTTGCCCACGACCGAAATAAGGTGATCAATAATTTTCAAGTTGACTTTTAAAAATTAATTGAATGTTTAAGAGTATTAGGTAGATATTTTATCTCTTTCTTAGATTCTTCAGGAAATACATGAAATTCAAGGTAATCAAGTTACCCTTAGTTTAGAAGGGATGAGAGTAAACTTTGTAATTTAAACTTCAATTGTCATGATTTTGCGAATCAAGTCAATGTTACACTTGATGTTTGTTAAGTCTATCGAAGCGTCCAAGTGACCTGATCGAGATAAGCGCAAAATCGAAGTTCCAAAACAACGATTTGTCTACAAAGGCGGTTCTTTATTATATAAAACACAGAATTTAATTACAAACCTCAACTTTTGAGGTGTCTAGGCGTTTAAACGCGTCGTTTAAGAATGAAAATAGCAAGGGTTTCGATAGTACAAAGACAGCCGATGGCTGTGTCGAAATTGGACAACAGTTTATGAGCAATCGAAACTCGAACCAAGAGCAAAAATATATGGAGACTGTTGCGTTTAAACAAATACACAACTGTGGATAACCGTTACAGTAATTAAAGTACAGCGATTATGATGACAAATGCAATGTACAATAAACATGAATATATGTGAACGTTTCCAAATGTTACATTACAACTTGCGTTACAATGTAAGTGTGTAAATTGTTAAGGATAAAACTCATTACTGAATATAAATAAGTAGTATAAAACAATAAACAAAGGAGAGTGAGTCGGAACAATGTTAAAAATTACTTCTCATTGATTAATCAAATAACTCACATCGTTTTATTTAATTATTCGTTATTTCTTGCGTTACATGATGTAAATTAATAAAATAGAATTTGTCTATAAATAAACTGGAGATGAAGGCTCTTATCATCCTCAATACATGTAGGTTATATAATTATGAGTGGTTAGAAAATTCCAAGATAAAATTTGTTTACCTACCTAATTGCACGTGTATGTCCTACGATATTCAACATAAGTCCTTCATCTTTGTTTTACTCTATACTCTAAAAGAATCCCTGATTTCCGAAACAATTAACAGTAGTCAAAGCAAGTGATCCTAAACACTTTCACTATTCTAATTCATAACTCGTGATCATAGTGGTAGTATGTAAAACAACAGTGCGCAATAACTCATAGCCTTTGCTTGTCTTCATAATTAATAGGTATTTTATATAAAACCTCATAATCTCTTTAGAATTAATTGTTTACTGTTTTAGAGCGATGTTCTGGTGGTGACCTTTATTTTTGTGCTGCGCAAATACTGCTGCAAACCTTTTTGTTTTAAATCTGTTAATTAGAAAACCTGTAGGAAAACAGCAAATTTATTGAGATATTTGCACCTTAGTTTATTCTTTGAAGAGACGAGATGGAACTACGTTGGAAAACATGTAGTTAATTTGCGATGGGAGGGAAAATTAAAATGTACCAGCAAAACTAGGTAGAGAACTTTTGTAGTTAAAGATAGCTCATGCTGATTACTAAAATTATAAACACTTTCTCAATAATTAAAGTCTGGATATTTGTCAACGAGGAATTTGTTACAATGTTAGATAGTTGATCATTTCTTGCTGTGATAAAACTTATGTTTCTGAGTAACGCAATTATTTTCATATAACACTGATTATATGAAATCTTATGGTTTAAACTTTGTTACATAGTACAATTCAATGAGATCACTGATAGTTCTTTGAAAATACAAATAAAGTATCAAGTAATAACTAGTGGGACTTTTGCGCTTTACTTTTATCATCTTTTACTAACATTAAAGATTTCTATTTTTTTATGGCCTACCTACGCTGGAAATATGTTGAACTATGAATTTTGATACACTGCTCGAAGACAGGGCTTACTTCAAACGATGTGTCTATCTAAATTAGTTAATTCTAAAGTAAAGAAATTTTTTCACTATCTTTTTGTATTCTGATTTTTAGAGCGTTTAGTTTTATACATTCCGAGAATTTAATCAGAAGCTGAAAATGACCCAAAGTATGATTTGTGCCCAATTCGACCGCATATTTATTTTTCAATACGTTTTGGATGAAAACATGGTAGCATAAAAAATGGTGATAGCGATCCAAAGACAGCAAAATATGTCACAACAGAGGAGCATTGCAAACTTTATATTTCGTTTAAGATGTCTAAAATGTTTCTCAGAAAGATTACAAAACATGTAAAGGGTTTGCCAGAAGTGTTATCACATTTGATTTCATAACAACAGAAGTTGTTTCAAAATTTATAGTAATAAAAATGACGATTGTAATTAGTTCGAATAACAATTTTGTTCTTAATTCCTTTTATACCAATACAAATAATATCTTCTACATAGTGTTAATCTGTGTCTCAGTGTACATCAACAGTGAATCCAAGTTGGATATTCACACTTTGTGCAATCGTTGTTTAACAAGTAATGTACTCTCATTGTGTACACCTCGTGATTGGCAGTATTGCCTGGTTGACCGTAAGTCGAATACTCTCCCTTTCATTAAGTAATCTCTTAATACAACTGAAAATGTTTTATGACGGTAAAAAAAATTAAAACTATAAGGTTGGAAACAAGGGTCATCAGTAATTAATGATAATAGTAATCATTCCATCCAGTATTAACTACAGCGATTCACAATTATAAATTTACCTTACAAAAGATTGGTTTTCAGAAAAACTAGATACCATTCAAGTTCTTTTCAACCTAGATAGCATATCTTAATCTTATGGAACATTCTCAAAGGTATTAAGAAAACTGATAGACAAAATTTTCATTATATATTTGAAAGTGAAGGATAATCAAACAATTTAAGCGTGATTTAATTCATCAAACAATATAAAAATAAAAGAGAGCAGGTAATTCTCTTTTTTTTTAAAGCGATATTATTTCTTATTTTCTAGTAAACTACCAAATGGTAAAGTTATTACTTTACCTGTTCATTTGCTAGATAAGAAATTAATTTGTTATTTAGTGTAATAATCAATCATTATGCTTGCAACAACATTGTTTCAGTCTTTTGAATAGATTAAATTTGATTAATGCATGGACAGTTATGATGATAGCTGAAGTAATATTACATAATCCAGCGAATAAAAATGTGCATGCGTAATTTCCTGTTTGATCTTTGATTATACCTAAGCGTAAAAATAATGATAAAATAATAATATAGATATTATAATAACAATTAAGATTTATTATAAAATTTTGTAAATTTTTCACAGTTAACAAAATAGAAATTTTCATGTTCATTAATTCTATGCTTAGTGTTGATGGAATTTTTTGTAGCATAGAAAACCCATTAATCATTTGAATATTACTATTGAAAGCTGTAACGATGATAAAATGGTTCATCGAAGTTCGATTTTTATTATTTATTTAAAAACATAAATATTGGTACGAAGGGACACTAGATATATATGGGCCGCACAAATCTCATTCGATTTCTGTAAGGGCTGTGATACTGCCCAGGTGCCCAAACTGAAGCAGATGGTTTTCTTAGGGGCCAAAACCGGAGCCTTTGACCTCAAGGTCTGATCCAGAAGGCAGTGGAGCATCGTGAGGAGATGCAGTTCCATGGTAGCCGGTGATCAAAGATTGGTTCATACGCCATTTGTTCCCTCAGGATACTGGAGCCCATGTGTACCATTGGTTTGGAATCAGGGTTTTCCAACTCCCCTAGGTGGACCCTACGTGTCCACCAACCCGGTTAAAGCGTCGGACATTCGCTTTTCTTCCTTTCAATTTCGTAAACAACAATAGTGCCACGAGAAGGCAGTGAGTAGGACTTCCCTGGCAGATGCTATATATTCGCTTGGCCATGTGAGAGCATTTCGAGAGAGGAGGCTGACTCTCCCCACTCTCGGACGTATCAGGGCATTTGGGTGCCACTTACAATTAATTTTATAGGAGGAAGGAATCCCGTGCAATGCAACAGAAATGTAACGAATTCGTATGTCTTTTATCGAATTAATCAATAAGTACTTATCTTTCGTATCTCTATAGATTTGAGGTTTTTGAACAGTACATAATAAAACGAAAAGATATTAATTTTACATATTTACTGAGACCTAATAAATTTTGGTGTGAATCACGAAGTTATCCTATTTCAACTGTTTTATACTTATCGGTTAATCTATCCACAGTTTCATAACATAATAATTATAATCTTAATTTTGACATGTTGATATGCATTTATAAGACAAGAAACTGTAATAAAACTAAAATATAGTACTGCATGATAGTTTGTTACACTGACAACTAGCAGGTTAAGCAAATTAATGAAAGTGTTTGTGACCTATTCCACTCTTCAAGGACGCATAAATTAACATGAGTTTATAAGTGTTACCAAGTGACAAAATTAACATTTATCCAAAACTGATCTATTCAGCTTCATAAATCCACTTACCCCATACCAATCGGTTCTGTAGTTTAATATTTATATACTTGATTATTCTTTCGAAAATGAAAAGAGTTGGATTTTTGTTGATTATATGTCCTAAAGTTTAATGACAGGTTTTTATTGAAGTTTATTTAGATGATGAACTAGCTTTAGATAGACAAAATTCAATGGATTTTAAGTGATTAGGACTTTCAGTTTGAAATAACTAACTATATCTGACACAAGATTCGGTAGTATTCCATTAATTACATATTTTTACTGAACAATAATATAATTGTGAAATATTTTTTGTCCTATTTCATACTACCTAATAGTTTTAAGGTAGTATAGTACAAGTGAAGTTAATTAGTTGTGTTATCCAAAAGCATTTTCACTATTCTGTTTTTTTCATTTGAATGAATAAAATGATTTCACTTTAAGATAATCAAATGAACAAAATGTTAATAACTAAACCAACGTAGATCAATTAGGAAAATTTTCCTGACTAACCTCCTAATGGTCCACCAATTAAATAACCGGTTGCTTCAAAAAAAAGAATCATTGATAAACTTCTATCAACCTTTTTGTCACCCATAATATCAATAACCATTGCATGTGAAAATGCAAAACTTGGTCCTATAAAAATACTGTAAGATATGCCATAGGCAATTAAAGATGAATAGGTTGGATAGAATGGCATTATGATAGTGTGTATGGATATAATGAATAAACAAGCGGCTGAAAATAAACGAATATCTAATTTTCTCGAAAACTGTCCAATAAGTCCAATTGCTATTCTGCCTAGCATATTCGATAATCCGACATAGGCAAGTAAACCATTGGCTTTTTCCTCCTTCAGTCCACTGCTTATACCAAAATTAATGAAATGACCATATAGTATGGAATCAGCCATATAACTTAATGAACGATTGATAAGGAAGCTGAGAAAAAGAATATTTTTTAAGTTAATGAATGACATTCTCATTTTCTTTATTTCATAACCACATTGATCTTCAACATTTTCATCATTTATCTTAGAAACTAGTAAGTCAATAGCTTCTTTAGGTCCATCCACTGAAGTTACCGATAAAAGCCTCGTTCTACCAGGCAAGTCTTTGCATTTGTATAATGGCACCATTACAGCTTGACTTTGGTAAATGGTCGTTCCACTACGTATCATTTGATCAATATATCCTCGAGATTCATATGAAAGCTTTGGATGATCCAAGTTTAAATGTGAATTCTCTAAATGGTGTCCAGATGAAATCATTTTATTTTGTGAAGTATTGTATGCAGACTTTTTGGTAGATGGTGTATTATCAGAGTTTCCATTTTCATCAGTTTGATAATCAACTTCATTTTCCTCATAAATTGTATCTTCAGTCGGTTTGACATGCTTTAAGGCATAAGAACGATAATCTGATGAGAAATTCGGGCCCGTCGAATCAATACATTTTTCCGCTACGATCACAGTAAGTGGTTTTGGATGAACCACCATACTTTTTGAAGTTAACTCTTTTGAAATTTCCTCTACCTTGACAAGAGCACGTTTAATAACTGCACGTATTAGATTTTCAGTGTATTTAGAATCATGAGCTTGAATTACGCTCGAAGTAAGTGAATCACCGAAAAATGTTGTTGTTTTTGTCTGAGCCGCTGTTGTTGCAGTTGTAGATTTATTTCCACTAGGTGTTTGTTTTACACTTGCTTGTGAATTGATGAGTGCAGTTGATCCCGTGTTAGTAATATGATCAGTGAATAATTTATCGATTCCACTTAAACGACTATCAACTAGAAATTGTGACTCTGGTAGATTGGTTTTAAAGTCGGTCAGCTGATCGCATACTAAAAATATGATTGGAAGAAACAGAGTGAGACTATGATATGATGTTGCTTCTGGTGTAATATTCTCCGCGTTATCAAAATAATCATCAACTATTGTCTGTATTCGTTCTAATAAATGTGGTTCTGGGTTGTTTACAAAATTGATTGGACTAACAGTAATCTGATTTGAATTAGTTTTGTCATAGGTAATTTTGACAAACTCCACAACTCCAATAATATCTTGTCCGGTTATCCGTGAATGTATTGTCTCTGTTTTATTTCTTTGTATGATATTATCAATGCTGGTTAGTATGCTGCCACCAGTTGTACTTATAAATGATTCATTTGTATTTGGTGGGCCTGTAACAGATTTTAAACAAATTGTAGACGCTACTGGATCATTAGGTAGTAAGATAACGGGTTCTGGAATTGGTTCAGGAGGTAATGGTTTATGTAATAAACTAAAAGGGATTACATTAAGGTGGAATAAAGCTAATGAAATTACAGCCATACGCCAGGTATAATTTTCAATCATATAACTGCATAGAAGAGTATACAATAATGTCCCGAAACCACCACCGCTACTACAAATAGCCAAAGCAAATATTCTATATCGATCAAAGTATCCAGCCATGATAGCTATTATACGAACAATACTGATTCCCATTCCAATGCCTAAAATAATAGAGATAAAGGAAAGACAAAACAGTGTATTTCAATAATGTTGAAAAAACAACAAAATGAACTCAGTGCAGAAAAGAAATTGGCTATATGAGCACAACTTGAAAATCCAACACACTTCACGGAGTATAGGTCTCTAGTTTATTCGAAGAATAAGAATAGCGTTTATTAGATGTCGAGCAAAAACATTTTCGTAGAAAATTATGATTTACAGCCTGATTTTTTCTATTTATTTAAGAATATGGCATTTCGAGCATCATTTAACTCAACTAATGACTTAAACCAAGCTTTAGTGTTTTGGAATGTGTAAACACCATATACCGTGAGTTTTATTACATCTTTTTAGCAAATAAATTCAGGATAACAAACCCTACTTAAAGGATCCTGGGAGATATGACAATAGTAGTTCGTGCATGACATCATATATTTGATTGATAAAAGTTGTAATGCATAATAAATAAGTGTCTCAAATCAAAGCATTAAATGTAAGTCACTTGATAAGTTCAAATTAATGAAGTTAGATATAAGCTTGACGTTTCATGTGATAACTAATCATATTGATTGACTGCTAAAAAATGTGATACGACAAGTGATGTTAGAGCCTGAAAATTATCAGTTGAAATTTGAATGCTGTATTCACTAAATCATCGCTTTACTATTTTGTTAATAACAGCACAGGATACGAAGGCTGAACAGTATTATTCGTTCTTATTGCTACCTTTATTGATTTAAATTAAAATATTATTGGGTCATACTGAAAATAAAATTTATAATTATAGAATAATGTAATGTATTGATCGACTAATGTCACTCAGCAAACTATAAATTGTAAACACATTGCAACTTATCATCGTAATTTACATCAATCATTCATCAATCAATTCATAATCTTCAATGATTCAGTTTGACTAGTAAATAGTTGAAATACTTGTTGTTAGTATAATCTTAAATGAATAATACATGATATATTTCAGGATAACTCCACCTGTAGCTCCTCTGGGGGTTACTGCCGGTCCCAAGCCCGGGTAAAGGAGGAGGGTTGGGCATGGGGTTAGCCACCCCATCCCGTAGAAAATCAACTCGCTAAAAAAACGCTAACCACAAAAAATCATTCAAACCATTCGAACTCTGCCCTGGGAGTAGAAGGAATAATGACGTCTCATGATGAAAGCCGAGTTCCTTCGGAAGTCATGAGGCCGATGCACCTTCTTACAACCAGAGAAACAATTTTTATAGGTACATGAAACGTCCGGACAATGTGGGAGACAGGAAGAGTCTTCCAAATTGCTCAGAAACGATGAAATACAACCTGGAGGTGTTTGAGATCAGTGAGACGCGTTAGAAACAGATTGGACAACAACGACTATCTTCAGGAGAACTTCTGTTATAATCCGGTTATGAAGAAGAAAACGCCTCACATACACAAGGAGTTGCATTGATGCTGTCCAGAAAAGCACAAAATGAACTTATTGGATGGGAACCTCATGGACCAAGGATCATCAAAGCCTCCTTCAAAACAAAGAGAGAGGGCATTACAATGAACGTCATCCAATGCTATGCACCTACCAACGACTACGATGAAGACGCTAAAGACCAATTCTACGATAGGCTGCAGTCGATCTTCGAGAAGTGCCCAACAAAGGACCTCAACATTCTGATGGGAGATCTCAATGCCAAGATTGGAATGGATAACACTGGATACGAAGACGTCATGGGACAGCATGGACTGGGAGAAAGGAACGAAAATGGTGAGAGATTTGCAAACCTATGTGCCTTCAATAAACTCGTCATAGGTGGCACCATATTCCTACACAAAAACATATACAAAGTCACTTGGATTTCACCGGATCACACTACACAGAATCAAATCGACCATATCTGCATCAACAAAAAGTTCAGGAGGACGATGGAGGATGTGAGAACCAGAAGAGGAGCTGATATGGCATCCGATCATCATTTGCTGGTCGCCAAGATGAAACTAAAACTCAAGAAGCAGTGGATAACGGCGCGGGCAACATCACAAAAGTTTAATACGGCCTTTCTTCGAGATGCTGACAAACTCAACAAATTCAACATAGCCCTCAGCAACAGGTTTGAGGCCTTTCATGACCTACTCAATGGAGAGGGGACTACCATGGAGAGCAACTGGAAAGGTATCAAGGAGGCAATCGTTTCAACGTGTCAAGAGGTTCTGGGTTACAAGAAGCATCATCACAAGGAATGGATCACTGTTGGTACACTGGATAAGATTGAAGCAAGGAGGAACAAGAAGGCAGCAATCAATATCAGCCGAACCAGAGCGGAAAAAGCCAAGGCACAAGCCGAATACACAGAGGCAAACAAGCAAGTGAAGAGGAGCATCAGAACCGACAAACGTAAATATGTGGAAGATTTAGCGATGAAAGCGGAAAAGGCTGCAAGAGAGGGAAACATGAGACAACTGTATGATAGAACAAAGAAACTTGCTGGAAATTACCGTAAACCAGAAAGACCAGTGAAAAACAAGGAAGGCAAAGTAATCACCGACATTGAAGAACAACGAAACAGGTGGGTAGAACACTTCAAATAACTCTTGAGTCGACCAGCTCCACTGAACCCACCCAACATCAAAGCAGCACCCACAGACCTACCAATCGATGTTGGCCCACCAACAATTGAAGAGATCAGCATGGCCATTAGACAAATCAAGAGCGGCAAAGCAGCGGGACCAGAATACATCCTGGCAGAGGCACTCAAAGCAAATGTAGCAGAAACTGCCAAGATACTCCACATCCTCTTCAGTAAGATTTGGGACGAAGAACAAGTACCAATAAACTGGAAAAAAGACTTCTGATCAAGGTACCAAAGAAAGGCGATCTCAGCAAGTTTGTTAACTACAGTGGCATCACTCTTCTCTCAATACAAGGAAAAGTCTTCAACAGAGTATTGTTAAACAGGATGAAGAATTCCGTGGACGCCCAACTTCGGGATCAACAAGCTGGATTTCGTAAGGATAGATCGCGCACAGATCAAATCGCAACTCTGCGGATCATTGTGGAACAATCAATCGAATGGAATTCATCACTCTACATCAACTTCATCGACCACGAGAAGGCATTTGATAGCGTGGACAGGACGACACTATGGAAGCTTCTTCGACACTACGGCGTGCCTGAGAAGATAGTAAATATCATACGGAACTCCTATGATGGACTAAACTGACAAATCGTCCACGGAGGACAACCCACCGACTCATTCGAGGTAAAGACTGGTGTAAGGAAAGGTTGCTTACTCTCACCCTTTCTCTTTCTCCTGGTGATCGACTGGATCATGAAGACGTCAACATCTGGAGGGAAACACGGGATACAGTGGACAGCTAGGATGCAACTAATCGATTTAGACTTCGCGGATGATCTGGCTCTTCTATCACAAACGCAACAACAAATTCAGGGGAAAACGACCAGTGTAGCAGCAGCCTCAGCAGCAGTAGGTCTCAATATAAAGAAAGGGCTAAGCAAGACTCTCCGATGCAATACAATATGCACCAATCAAATTACACTTGACGGAGAAGCTTTAGAGGATGTGGAAACCTTTACATATCTGGGCAGCATCATTGATGAACACGATGGATCAGATGCAAATGTGAAGGCGCGGATCGGCAAAGCAAGAGCAGCATACCTACAACTGAAAAACATCTGGAGCTCAAAACAATTGTCAACCAACACCAAGGTTAGAATTTTCAATACAAATGTCAAGACAGTTCTATTGTATGGGGCGGAGACGTGGTGAACTACGAAAGCCATTATCCAGAAGATACAAGTGATTGTCAACAGCTGTCTACGCAAGATACTTCGGATCCGATGGCCAGACACTATCAGCAACAAGTTACTGTGGAAGATAACAAACCAGATTCCATAGGAGGAAGAAATTAGGAAAAAGCGCTGGAAGTGGATTGGGCACACCTTGAGGAAATCACCGAATTGCGCCACTAGACAAGCCCTTACATGGAAAACTGAAGGTCAAAGGAAAAGAGGAAGACCAAAGAACACATTACGCCGAGAAATAGAGACAGACACGAGAAGAATGAACAAGAACTGGATAGAACTAGAAAAGGAAGCCCAGGACAGAGTGGGTTGGAGAAAGCTGGTCGGCGGCCTATGATCCATTGGGAGTAACAGGCGTAAGTAAAGTAAAGTAAATATTTCAGGATAAATTTAGATATGTACTTTGAAATTAATGTCTTTTGGGAGATATCAACTCCCTGAAGATATTGGTGAATGGTTGCTCAATTTCGTGGATTGGTTGAAGTTAGACACTAACAACGTTGAGTGCCGGCTCAGGGATCTAGTGGTTAAGCGCTCACGCGCGAGATTGTTAGGTCATGAGTCCAAATCTCGCGAGGCGCATCATAGGATGCTCACTGCTTAGGAGTCCCACAATAGGACGAGTTGGCCATCCAGTGCTTCCACGTTTTCTATGGTGGTCTAGCTTCAATTGACTCATGATTTCAACTATATATAAATAATGTCTATTTTGTTAAGGAAAATTCATCAAGTATTTGAAAGTATAAATAAAGATATATATTGTCTTGAAAGACTGTTAATATTTATTTCATATTTCATTTAAGCATTATAATAATGATTTATTTATGCATATCATAATGAGTAGTATCCAAATTTTTTTTAAAATGTATTTCATTCTAGTAGAATTTTATCGTAATAATAAAATTCTTTTTGAACTTAAATAGTCGATGGAGCTCTGCTTAATTTCCAAAATATATTTTCAATGGATTTATTTACTCAGAAGTGGTTTTGTGGAGATTTCAGTATTTTTCATAGTTGAAATTATGAGTCAATTGAAGCTAGACCACTATGCAAAACCTGGAAGCACTGGACGGCAAACTCATCCTATTGCTGGACTCCTCAGCAGTGCACATCCACTATTCCGCCTTGTGAGATTCAAACCCAGGACCTCCCAGTTCCGCGCCAGAGCACTTAACCACTAAACCACTGAGGCCGGCATCCAACGGTAGGTCCCGGGTTCGAGGTGAGATAGTGGATGCGCACTGCTGAAGAGTCGCATAATAGGCCGTCCAGTGCTTCCAGGATTAATTTACATTGGTGATAATCATGAGTAGAAAAAGGCAGTAAAATATACTTCAATTTGTATAGAGATTCTTTGATAAGTATGTTTAATTAAAAAAAATTAATTTACCTCCAAGTAAAGTATACATTATGAAAAATCCCCAATAACTATTAAAGAATACAGAAGCAATCATTGTAATACTGGTCATCATTACAGCAACAATAGTAGCACTTTTAGTGGCGACTACATCCAATAAACGATTATATATCGGTGCTAAACATTGATAAGAAAAATATTATTCAGTTTTATTTAGCAAGAAAATTGTATAGTAGGTGAGTAAATAACCAAAAACAACGTGCTGATATAATTCGATGTGATGTTAACACTTCTGAAGTAAATCACATCATTTTATGAAAGTAATAAATGATGAATTGGATTGTAGTTTAATGAACTAGAAGTTTAATTTTCATCAATAGAGTGAGAGACTTATTCATCACTGTACTTATTTTATAATTGGGATATTTGGTTAGTATGAATGATTTTAAAAGCTAGAAATAAGTAAAATCCATAATGTTGCAACATTAAGATTACGATTTCGTTTTTACAATTTGATTACAGAGCCTAGGATTTAGACTTTAATAATCATAAAGCGAATGGGTATAATCTTTGTTCTCTCCTATAATAAGTAAGTAATATGTTGTAAATTATTTACAAAATATTTAGTGGAATCTTTAAAGGATATCTATCTTCTCTGTCTACATTCCTACTAATTTTAGATCAAACTATTTATTTTGTAACAAATAGATTCTGTCAAATGCATCATACCATTAAGTCTATCAGCTATAATTTAATAGATAAGATTTATCAGCTTTTTTAAAAATGCCGTTTTTAGAGCCATATAAAAAATATTGTAATTACTTATATGAATATTAATGAAATTGGTAATTCGATCTTGCTATATACTAAATTAGGTAACTCACTTATTATTGTTTGTTTGAATCTTCCTATTGATGTTTAGGACTGTAACTGGTCAGTCTCTAATTGGCATATGTGCATCCTGTGTGGATTGCCTCGTTATTGCCTCAGGTCACAAGCTTTATAAGCAAAGATGGATAGTGGCCAACAGTGGAATCCAGGACGCGCGTTTCGTCCTATTTGGGACTCATCAGCTGGATGTACTTGCATCTCAGAGTTGATGTGCATTCTGGGACTCGAACCCAGTAACTTTCGCTTCTAACGGCATCGAGTTATCCACTCAGCTATTGAGTCCTGATAGCCACTTGCTTGTGCAATGGGGTGAAGTTGAAATTTACTTAATATTGTTTGTTTGAATCTTCCTATTGATGTTTAGGACTGAAACTGGTCAGTCTCTAATTGGCATATGTACATACTGTGCGTACTGCCTCGATATAGCCTTAATTCACAAGCATTGTAAGCAAAGATGGATAGTTTAAATTAGGTAACATTTTTAACGTTCTAACTTGGAATAGTATAGGAAAACAGGTGAAAAAAATGTTTAAGAAATTGTTGTGTAAGGTATAATCTAATAGTGAATGAGATAACCATGAAAGATGAACTATTAAGTTGCATATCCTTTTGACTAGTAGCTATACAAATAATTATTAGTAGGAGATAAGGTTATTTGAAATGTTATTCCTTTACTGAACTTGAAAATGAAAATTTAATTTTTCAATATAATCAAATAGCTAAACACCTCGAAAAATTAAGACTTGAAAAAAGTCATTAAACTAAAAGGAAATCTTTTAACCAATTTATTTTCGTATGGATTTGTTTTAAATGAACATTTTCAAGTTGCACAATACCTATTGCTCAAAGATCAATGAAACAATATGGGTTTACCCAGTCATTTCGACAACTACGTTTTTTAATTTCCATAAGTCCAATTGTCATTAAACATGATTAGATGAATCTTAAGTACACATTAAGAAATGGTACCGATAAGAAAAAAAATGTATTTAATCAATCGGGATATGTAATTTAACATAGTATAATACATACCTAAACAACATGTTATTGCAAATTGTCCTGTCATAAGCCAAAATAGATGACTAATTGAAACTTGTAATGTCTCTTCTAGTCCAGGGTAGAATAGAGCACCAACATTAAGTATACCATAATGGCTTCCTACCATAAGAAATGCACATATTGCTTTTATCCAAGCTGGTCGACGATCTATGCATCTTTCTCGTTCAGAGAGTATATCGATAGGATTCTTTATTTGAAAATGCTGTGGAAACATTAAAATGGAAGAAATTACCATTTATAGAAACAAAATAAAAAGCTGCTTATGTATATATACAATATCTTTAATCGATAATAAATGGTTTATTTCAAAAGTATTATCCTGTTACTAATAAAAATCCAAGTTTAATGGTTTAAACAAATTGTCTACTGAATTCTAAATACAAAGAAATCTATTAGTCAATACTGAGTATTCGTTGTTAGTGTTTAGGATAAAACCAATTTTCAAATCCAATGAAAATTTATCAATAATCTGATGAATGGAATAAAAAAAATACTATACATATTACACATTATCATCGATTACTGTCTTCAATTATTCTAATTCCCTGAGAATACAGTACACAATGTTCATTTATATGGATGAAAAGATTATCTACAATCTCTATAGAAAAAAAAAGAATCATTATTTCTATTCTACATTATTCATATCAATGTGAAAATGATATTTTTTTGTTACATTCAATTATACTAATGATTTAAATAATATCTGACCTTGTAGTAGAGTCTATTAGATTGTTTTATAGCATTGAAACGATCGATATCATTTTACAAATTAAGTAATTATAAACAAATTTAATCTTAATTTTAAACTTTCTTTTAGTTTAACTTTTACATAATTAGTAAAGTGTGCTGGAGTTTTAACTTGTTATTCAAAGCATGTTATACTATATATATATATACAAACATATTTTTTGATAATTTCTGGCATACATTTTAAAATTATTTTTAAAAGTTGAGTAAAGAGAAATGCCAGATTAAAATTAAGCATGTTTCATTTTGAATATCTGTTTTAAATTTCTATTTATTTGATAAGTCAAAGACAGCTACTCTTTGATAAAAAAAATTAGTTTACTATTAATAAGATAGTCTATTGACAAAACTTTTTGTGTTCTGTTCATTGTATCAGAAATAGACAATTGAAAGTGAAACAGTCACTGGTGAAAGATCATCACATTCAAAAATTTATTATAATATTCAAGATCACGCGTAAGGCTTGAGGAAGCTTTAATGACTGTTGTCAATAAATAAGATCTGGCAGGATACTCAAGAAAGACTAAGGTTAAGATGAAATATTTGATTGTAGTTTGTTAGTTAATAATGGTTCGTTAAAATTCGTAAATCACTAGTACGAAATTTATAAAAATCATTACTGACCACGTGAAAACATTTGAAACCTTTACACCATGTGGATATAATCATTATTTTATAAAGCTTATACTGTTATTTTGAGAAACAGACAAGAATACTTTTAACCGTTTTCTTAACTCTGCTGATGACCATCAGTTTCCCCTAGTAGTATTGAAGAAACTAACCACAATAACTGAAAATAGAGTAACCAAGCAAAGCAGAACTGACAAAGTAAACATCTTTTACAATATGTAACATCCTTGAAGACAATATTAAAAGTTAAAATCTTAACTAACATACCATTGAAAGACATGGACAGTTAAAAGCTATTGATGTTTAGCAAAGCAATTGCGATTTAAAGATTACCGATTGTGGCGTTGAGACGGTCAACCGTATATGTAAACTTCTTCAACATAGAAAACCAATGAGGTAAAGCTCCTTTAAGAAAAGCTAATGTTTGTCTTTTAGATCATTTATCGATATTTAGGGAAGACTACTTACTAATGGATACGAATTAACTTCAGTCAGTCTTATAGTTCAACCTGACATTTATTATCGGTTAGAAGAAAACATAGCTACATGAATCCGTTTCTCTAGATTGAATATTCCGTCAAACGAACCTAATTTTTCTATGAACTCAAGAAAAAATCTTTAGAATTTAGTAAGTAAGCGACATTTATTTACAATAGTTAGATTTTATCATCTACATTATGTCGAGTCTTTTATTTTGAAATAATTGTAATGGAATTGTAATGTTTGTAATATGTTTATAAACGGACATGTTTGTCGTAATTGAATGTAAAAATACATTTATTATAGAAATTTTGAATATCCTTAAGTGTGAGAGACTTATCTACCATAGCCAAATGTAAGCTTACTTCCAACTTTGGATTCTATATAGTTTACTCTTATAATGATTCAGAATTTCTATACTAATACAAATCAAAGTGATTATATATTGGATCAGCTAGAACGAGTGCTTTAAGTACAATGTAGAAAAGACTATTAATGTGTGTATTCAAATACTCAGCTACTCTTTTCTAAATAATTATAATTTGAATAGTCCGAATATAAAAGTGCCCTGGTGCTTTTACGTATTGAATATTTCAATGGAACCGTCTACATCTTTCCTAAACTAGTAGCCGAAAATCCGACAAGATATTGTTTTAAAACGAATTCTACGTTTACATACAACGATAAGTTTTGTTAGATATAAAACAATTGATTTCTCAATAGAAAAACGTCACTACGTTAAAGATGATTTTGTTCTCAGACAATGATGATGAAGCTATGGGAACTAGGTTTAAATGTCAATATGGATATAAACACTAGAATGTAATTGCTTGGTAGTGATGAATCATGAATCGCATAAAACTTGAATTCTGTTATTTCATCGATAAAGACTTAACAAAAGTATGATAAACTTTGTAAATGTATGAAATATTGTGTCATACTCCAAAATGAGCCAATATGAGCCAATAAACAAATTGATTTTATTCCAAGATATCAATAACAGCAACAAAAACAACAAAAAGGCAACAACGCAAATTCTACATAGTTGAAATCATGGGTCAGTTGAAGCTAGACCACCATGGAAAACTTGGAAACACTGGACGGCCGTTTCGTCCTATTATAGGACTCCTCAGCACTGCGCACCCACAATTCCGCCTCGTGACATTTGAACCCAAGACCTATCAGTCTCGCGCGCGAGCGTCTAACTTCAACCAATAAACGATGTTGAGCATCCATTCACCAATGTCTTCAGTGAGTTGATATCTCCCAATTGACATTAATTTTAAAGTACATATCTAAATTTATCCTAAAATATATCATGTATTATTCATTTAAGATTATACTAACAACAAGTGTTTCAATTATTTACTAGTTTGAGTGAATCATTGAAGATTGTTAATGGAGTGATGAATGATTAATGTAAATTGGGATGATAAGCTGTAATGTGTTTAAAATTTATAGTTTGCTGAGTGAGATTAGTCGATCAATACATTACATTATTTTATAATTGAGTTGCACTGGTTACTGTTTCTCACTAGAACTCCAGGAAATACCTTATGAAGCCAGTCACTAGTGAGGATTCTCACAAATAACGATGATAAAATAACATCCTGAATTCTTTTTTTCTAATTACTATTCTAAATACATTCTATTTCATTTCTGAAAAAAAGCATTTTATTCCAGGTATTTTATTGTAATAATATTGTTTAGTTAAATTATGTTGTCATCTATAATAGATTGAATAACTACATTCAGTTAAATGATCTTATTGTTATGTGTATTGTATTAATACTTTTTAACATGGTATTTACTTTTATAAAATTTTAAAAACTGATTTTACTTATCAAGAAATTATGATTTTACTTAAAGTCAAATGATAATCAATCAATGGTGTTGTATATGGTTTACTCAAATATCATATTAAAATTTTGTTTTTTCTTAATTATGTTAACATTTTACATTGGACATTGAATGGAAAAATTACTTATTTTTTAAATTATTCATGGGTTAAAAAGTCAAATTATTTTGTGGTCTATCGGTTAAGGGCTTCGGCTCGAGACTGGCAGGTCCTGGGTTCTAATCTCGCGGGTGCGGGATCGTGGATGCGCACTGCCGAGGAGTCCCATAATAGGACGAAACGGCCGTCCAGTGCTTTCAGGTATTCGATGGTGGTCTAGCTTCAATTGACTCATGATTTCAACTGTGAAAATTATTTTTTGTTTAATGACCTTAAGTAAATTTTCTATGAAATAAGAAAACAAACAAACAAAATATAAACTGACAATAAGATATATTGAGTAACTTTTATTGCATAAGCTTCACAAGAAGTATTTCTAATTGTGATAGTTCAAATAAAATATATCAGGGTAATATTACAGAATTTAGTTTTGTTTATCAGGGCAAAACACATTTACTATCATGATATTTATTACCTATGATTCTTACTATTGTAGTGTTTGTTACTTATGTCGATAGATATAAGTAAACAGAAAACAAGAAAGTGTCATAGTGATCAGAACAACCGCAAAAACGACTGTTTAAAGAGGTGACGAATGTGGTGTGTGCTACTAACGTCAACATATATAGTAGTGTGTATCGTCAATTGAGAGTGGAATTCCTGGCGGTACAGGGTTGGAAAGATCGAAAAGAAGAGAACGAGAACAGCAAGTGATTGATATTCAAATGAAGGAACAATCAAGTCTGAGACAACTGATAGATATGTTGCAAATATAGTTTTCACTGTATAATTTACAGATTTCACTAAGAGATTTTGTATCTTCTTACTCAGATAAATCTGACTGTCCCCACTGGTGTTCTCGTTCACTACATTATGACTTAAAATATGAAATAATGAGAGTTTATCATCACTTTATATGATAAAATTACAAGGTAACTCAGAAGATTTTACATAACCTATGATCATCTTATCCATATGGATAAATTAGAGCTCAATTTCGTTAGAAAATTTCACTGTAGATGAGATATTAATGAATAAGAAGTTGAAAATTGTTTAACATTTATAATCATCATTCACATTTAGTGATAGATTTAGTAGAACTATACTAGAATATTCATAGAGCTGATAGATCCAGTGGACCACATATCTTACAAATCGTAAATCAGATTACTTACGAAAGTGTATGTAGGTACTAATAGAGGTTATCGATACACTTTCTCATTTTCAGGCAATTATTAAATTTTAGTTTATTAAACTAATTTATAATGAATAACTGATGCGTTTTATTCGATGGAAAGCTGTTAACACCAAATTCTAATTCTAAGTACCGTGCAGATTACCCACGAATGTTTAACATGAAGATTACCATCTAAATAACGACGTTTTCATACAACACTGATCATTAGATAATATGACATTACTTACTTCCAGATGTTCAACTGACATACAACCACCTAATGTTTTATAATTCTCTCAACAATATACGAATTCTTTGCCATATAGCTAATAAGACTTTCTAGACCACATTTTAATTAAAACCTTAAATGACAATCACATTGCCAAAAGGTTGAACATAAAAATTAAAAGGTGAAAAATTTTATAATTTTTGAATTTGCCTCCACACATATCTAAGAATTGACTTGATGAATTACTTATGACATTAAACCAATTAAAAGTTTAATAAATTAATTTGAATTCAATTTTACTCTTATGAATAAATGAGATACAAACAGAATTTTAATTAACAACTATCTGACACTCATGGTAAGCAGAGATGGATATCGAGGCAATACGCTCAGTATGCACATATGCCAATTAGTGACTGACCAGTTGCAGTCCTAAAACACATCGATGGGAACATCCAAACAAACAATACTAAGTGTATCTGACACTCAGTTTGTGGACGAATATCATACAGTGATAATTATATTAGAAATCATTATAGTCAAATTTATTCAATTAAAATGGATTAAAATGATTTTCTAATTATAATGTTTCTTTCAGTGAAAATATTTCTGATAGAAAGTAGTCAAATATTCATTTAGAAAATAATAAACTAACTTTACGAACAATTATTAAGGAAAATTATTGTCATACATAGATTCGTTATTTTTCATCAATACAGTGATATGTGTATTACAGTAACTTTTAATCGATATTCTTCAACTGACACCTATATTTTTTATTGATGAAATATCCTCACTCTTTAATGAAACCGTATAAAATTAGTCGAATAGTTTAGCGACAATAAAAAAACACAGTGAAATTACTGAAGAAGGTGTGTTAAAATAAATATATACATATATAATGATATTTATGTTATTACTTACTTACGCCTGTTACCCCTCGTAAAGTAGCATAGGCTGCCCACCAACATTCTCCATTCAACCCTGTCTTGGACAATGCTTTACAGTTATTTCTACTTGTTATTCATCCTTTTCATATCTGCTTCCAATTCTCGGCGTAATCTATTATTTGGTCTTCTTCATTTCCACATCCCTTCAGGATTGCAAATTAGGGATTGCCTCGTGTTGCAGTTTGGTAATTTCCACAATCTATGTCCTATCCACCTACAGTGCCTTTTTCTAAATTCCTCCTCAGCTGGAATCTGATTTGTCCTCTCCCACAGTAGGCTGTTGCTGACAGTATCCGGCCAGTGAATGTTGATTACTTTACGTAGACAATTGTTTATAAATACTTGTACCTTCTTGACGATGAATGTAGTAGTTCTCCACGTTTCAGCTCCGTACAGTAGAACTGTCTTGACGTTCGTATTGAAGATTTTCACTTTGAAATTAGTTGAGTTGTTTTGAGTTCCATATGTTCTTCAATTGTAGGAATGCTGTCCTTGCTTTGCCAATCCTCGACTCTACATCTGCATCAGATTCTTCTTGTTCATCAATGATGCTTCCCAGGTAGGTGAATGTTTCCAGATCTTCCAGAGTGACTCAATTATGTGTGATCGGCTTAGCGTTTTCCATGTTTTATTTAGGAATCTTGCTTTTTCCTCTGTGTATGTTCAGGCCTATTGATGCAGAAGCTACTGCTACATTTGTTGTCTTCATCTGTATTTGTTCGTGTGTATAGGATAGAAGAGCTAAGTCACCTGTGAAGTCACAATCGTCTAATTGATTCTGAGATATCCATTGTATTTCGTCCATCTCGTCGGATGTCGAGGTCTTCATAATCCAGTCAACCAACAGATGAAAGAGGAAGAGGGAGAGTAGAAAGCCTTGTCCGACTTCGGTCCTTACTGGAAATGCATATGTCAGCTGTCCATGCACCACTTTTAGTCCATCGTATGAGTTCTGGATAATGTTCACAATATTCCCAGGAACTCCATAGTATTGAAGAAGTTTCCATAATGCTCTCCTGTTCACACTGTCAAACGCATTCACATAGTCAATGAAGTTGATGTATAGTGATGAGTTCCACTCAACTGATTGCTCAACGATGATCTGTAGTGTCGCAATCTGGTCTGTGCACGACCGATCCTTACGGAATCCAGCCTGTTGATCTCGAAGTTGGGCGTCTACTGCGTCTTTCATCCGATTCAGCATTACTATTGCAAACGTTTCCAGGTACTGACAGTAGTGTGATGCCTCTGTAATTCTCACATTTGCTCAGATCTCCTTTCTTTGGTATCTTGATGAGGTATCCTTCTTTCTGATCTGTCGTTGGCACTTGTTCCTCTTCCCAAATCCTCTTGAATAGTTGGTGAAGCATGTTTGCAGTAACTTCAATGTCTGACTTCAGTACTTCAGCTGGTATATTGTCATGTCCTGCCGCTCTCTGGCTCTTGATTTGTCTGATGGCCACCTTGAGTTCTTCGATTGTTGGTGGAGTGACATCTATAGGAAGGTCAGTGTGTGTTACTTCGATATTCTGTGTATTCGATGGGGCTGGTCTATTCAGAAGTCCTTTGAAGTCTTCTACCCATCGTTTCCTCTGTTCTTGAATCTCCATGATTGTCTTTCCTTGCTTGTCCTTGACTGGTCTCCAGTTTGCTATATCTCCCTGCCAATTTCTTCGTTGTATCGTATAGCTGTCTCATACCCCCTTCTCTTGCAGCTTTTTCCGCCGTCGTTGCTAGTACTCCCATGCATTTTTGCTTGTCGGCTTTAATGCTTTTCTTCACTTCATTGATTGCTTCTCCGTAGTCTACTTGTGCTTTGACTTTCTCTGCTCGTGTTCGGCTGTTGCTGATTGCCAGTTTCTTGTTCTTACTTTCTTCAATCTTGTTCAAGGTTCCCATAGAAATCCATTCCTCATGTTGATGCTTCTTAGGACCATGAACCTCCTGAAACGTTGAAGTTAGTGCTTCTTCGATCCCTTTCCAGTTGTCCTCCAAAGTAGTTTCGTGTTCATTCAGTAGATCCTGTAGAGCTTGGGACCTGTTGTTGAGAGTTATCTTGAATTCGTTGAGCTTGTCAGTATCTCGACGGGATGCTGTATTGAACCTTTGTAGTGCTGTTTGTCTAGTTGTCCAACGTTTCTTTAGTTTCAGTCTCATCTTGGCCACAACCAGGTGGTGATCTGAAGCTATATCAGCTCCTCTCCGGGTTCTCAAATCTTCCATTGACCTTCAGAATTTTTTGTTGATACAAATATGATCTATCTGGTTCTCAGCACGAGTTATTTCAACATGTTTTTACCAAAAAAACAAAAAAAACAAGAACAAAAAAAACAGAAAAGGAATGAAAAAGGTTTAAGAAAAACTGAGTTTATACAAATTATCGAATTTGAGACATGCTTAAGAATACAGGTTATTTACTAGGTCAACTCTAACAGCCTGTTCGTCACAAAGTAAGTTTGCTAGGTAAGGTATTACAGAACCTTTATAGATTTGCTTGCGTGCATGGATTTTAATGTATTTACGTCTCGTTCTACCAGAAGATATACAAGGAGAAAGATATGAATGAAGCGGATGGTTAGTATCTGATAAGATAACTCCTGCCAAGAGTTTGTAAGACTTAAGATGTCTATCCACAAGCATATTAATAATGACTTCAAAAGATTTACCACATACCTTGCAAACCGCCTTCAGCACTCTATGTAAAACAGCAAAGTCTTTTCTCAAAAGCCCGGGAAAGAATAATGGAGAACAATATAGAATAATAGGTAATATGCAAGAATTTACAAATTATAAGAGTAAATGGCGAGTAATCCCAAAAGCATGCAGCCTCTTTATGTAGTATGTCAAACGGTAAACTTTTTTCGATAAGAGTAAAACATGAGAAGACCAAGAAAGATCAGAGGAAAAAATGACACCAAGATATTTGACCTTCGACACTGTGTTTATTAAGGAGTCTCCAATGGCACAAGCATTATGGGATCCCAACATAGAGTATACGTTCTGTCCATGTCTCAAGCTAAAATTAACAGCTTGACATTTAGATGGATTGAGTAAGAGACCATTACCAACAGACCACCTTTCAATACGAGATAAAAACTCATTCATTTCTATGGGATGTAAGGAGGTAGAAATTGGCATACATACGGTGAGGTCGTCCGCATATTTTACAAAAATGTTTTCTGTGGAAGATGGCAGATCATGCAGAAAAAAAGAGAAGAGCAGAGGTGAAAGAACAGCTCCTTGTGGCACACCTACAGTAGACAGTAGAGATGTTGAACACTTTCCTTCAAATACAGTGTACTGTTCTCTTCCAAAAAGGTAGGAACATAGCCAATTGGTTATCCAACTGTCAGTGTCGACGCTGATCAGCTTGTTAAGTAATAGGTGTCTTGGAATGGAATCAAAAGCAGAAGTAAAGTCCAGGAAAGCGCATCGAACATACTTTTTACCCTTTTCCAACCCGAACACTATATTGTGATGCAGAACAGCAACGGCATCTTATGTGCTTCTTTTGCATTTGTAAGCAAACTGATATGGATCACAGTGCTCTTTTATTGCAGATTGAAGTGGTTGTATCAGTAATTTTTCCATTATTTTGAGGAAAGGTGAAGTTATTGCAATGGGTCTAAGTTTCACATTTTTATCACCGGAAGCTTTCTTTGGTATAGGGATTATCTTTATCTTTCTCCACATTTTCGGTAAGACATTAGTTGAGAAGGATCTGTTAAATATATTCGTTAATGGATAACATAAAACATCAGCAAATCTCTCCACATTTTCATTTCTCTCTCCTAGTTCATGTCGTCCAATTATATCTTCATATCCTGTGTTGTCCACTCCGATTTTAGCATTTAGATCTCCCATCAGGATGGTGAGGTCCTTTCTTGGACACTTCGCTATGATTGATTGCCGCCTCGAGTAGAACTGATCTTTATCGTCGTCGTTTCTATCATTGATGGGTGCATAACATTGGATAACATTCATTGTGATCATCTGCTTTGTTTTGAATAATGCTTTGATAATTCTAGATCCTTGAGATCCCCATCCTACAAGTGCATTTCGTGCTTCTCTGGACAGCATTAGAGCAACTTCCTGAGTATGTGGTGAATTTTCCTCCTCGAGACCGAAGTACAGAAGAATCTCTCTCGTATTTAGCCTTTGTTGTCCAGCTTGTGTCCAATGGGTTTCGCTGATTCCAAGTACCGCCAATTTAAATCTCCTCATTTCCATTGCTGTTTGGCTGGTTCTCCCGGTCTCTCACATTGTCCGGACGTTTCATATACCAATAAAAATTCTTGCTCTAGTTTTTAGAATGGGCATCGGTCACGTCAGTTCCAAAGAATTTTGATCTTCATCATAGGGAGTCATGATTTTTCCTTCAACTCCTAAGGCGGAATTTAAATAGTTTGAATTATTTTTTTCTGGTTAGCATTTTTTTAACGAATTAGTTTTCTACGGGATAGGGTCACTAATCCCATACCCAACCCTCATATTTTACCCTGGTTTAGAACTGGCAGTAATTCTAGAAGAGCTACAGGCGGAGTTATTTATGTTATTAATCTACCTACCTATAATTATGTTAATAAAGAATATCCTTGCGAATCAACTTAAGTATAAAAGCTTATTTCATGTAATCGGTATTATCTAGTTTACAGTCTTTATGTTTTATGATGTTTTCTATTTGATAAAAAGAAACAACCTAGGAGGTATTAATTTATATAAGTGTAGTATATTAACACAAATATGTTAATAAATTTTCTTAAAACAATTCGGGATAATATCAAAAGGTTAAATTTTTTTTAATAAAAATTCGATGAAGGTCATCTATAAACAATATAAGTGGTAATATAACATCCAAGTGTTAATAACCTTAGATATTTGTTTAAATTAATAATGATTTAGGAATAGAAAAGTACTTATTTTGTTCCATGACAATGATATCCATGATATATTTTTACTATTTTATTCAGAATCAACAAAAACGAGTACGAAAATGTCTTGAATTCGTCAATGTCCTGACTAAATCTGTAATAATATGTAAACACATTCAAGTTATTTTTTCCACAAATCATGAAAGCGATTTGAATTTCAACAGTTTATCCTCTCGGTCATTGTAAGTAACAAAGTTACATAGCTTTTTTAAAAAAAAACGTTATTGGGTTCATTAGTGTGCCAAATAGTAACAATCTTCAATAGTGAACATAACTATGATTTAGATTTTACCAGCCATTTTGAAAACAATTGAAGTAACATCAATTGTATCAAACTATTGAAAATTAAAAATCATTGGACACTCCGTTTGCTAATTCTGGATAAATAACTAAATACAATCGAACAATAAAACAAACTTAAAGCTTTCACGTCTTATAACAACGTCTTATAACTTTAGACAACTGATCTCAAACTATAGACATTTCTTGTCTTTAGTCTAAATAATTTGTATCACATAGTGGGCCTGAACCAAATTCATAGATGTGTCTCTACTTCACTTATCGTATGTAGTTGATTATATTGATTATAGCTTTTCACTAAAAATTCAAGAAATTCATTTTGAAACTGGCCACTAGTGAATATAAAGTGATTATCTACAGAACATTCTATGCATCTTAAAGATTATAATTGTTACAAATTAATGACAGTTTTAAAACAAGGTAAAAGTAAAAAGTCAATGTTCTTATGAAACGAAATCAACCTTTCTATGCTGTTTTCTTACTAGAATATGAAATCAATTCATTAGGATAAAGCGCAATTATTCTTCTATTTTGGACATATAATACATCCTTCAATTGTTTTATCACACTAGAATAAATGGTTATTGTTTTTCTTGTTTGAGATTTATCAGTTCACTATATGTCTACCACATTTCGTGCCAAAAACTTTGATTTATTAAGTTACAATTGAATACTCTACTAAAGAAACTAATGTTTTCAAAATTCAGTTACTGAGTAAATGACATAACAGTAATTGTTGTCCTTAGTAGAAACTAGACAATGTAAAGTTTACTTCGTGTAATATGATCAAAATAAATTGAGGGAAATATTTATTTAATAATAACATTAAATGCATTTTATGCCCTACCATAGAATATTTAAGATCCCCATTGTGAAAATTAGAACAACACATGTAAGCGAACAATTGTTTTCAAGTAGATCGTCATCAGGCTTTACTTTAACATTTTCGTATAAATGTCCATGTATATTAGAGTAAAGCCTGATGACAATCTAATAAAAAACATTTGTTCGCTTACATGTGTTGTCCTACCATAGGTCTGTCGACCTAGTGCAATAAAAAACCATGCATACATAAAATATAAGACCGAACTTCTGGTTGAAGAAAAAAAACAGAGAATATCCGTAAGAAGATTGAATATTTTATGTGTTAGTAAAAATAGCTATGAATATTGTTATTGTTACCTACTTGAATTATTCTACTAAGCCAGTCAAGGTAAATGACCGACGTGACAAATAGCACAGTGGAAAATGCCTTTTTTAATGATACGAAATTAAAAAAAATGCATAAATTGTCTAATGCATAAATTAATAGTAAATTCAATTTTAATTAAAAAATAAAATTTGACTGTAGACTAAAAAATTTTATATTCATGAAATAATGGAAATAATAATCAATCTGCTATATCTGAAGTGTTTCGAATTCACTAGTTAGCGGACGGAACAAGGACTTGTAAACAGAGACTGATAAGCTAGCTATTCTGACGTGTCCAAGACTCAGCTAACTAGAGTAAGAAGTTCAAGTTGGAAGCGAAGAAAATATATTTCGTAGCAGCCAGAAGCACAGCAATCGAAAGAGGAAAAAATCAAATATATATATACAACAATATATTGTCCTTGAACATCATTAAAAAATAGCACACTCAAAGATACAACGGACCAATAGCGTTTGAGATATTTTACAAGTGGGAAATGCGACTCGAGGATGAAAAGAGCCCTTTTGGCGCGAAAACAAAGAAATTCGAATTTTCAGAATAAATTTACAAAATTATGCCATTTACTAAGTAAGTTCTGGGGATTTAACATCCCCAACACAATATTATTATTATTTTTATCGCTAACCATATTTATCGTTACATTTATGTTGTCATGAGAATGAATAAATCAAAAATGTATATTAATTATTGTCCATCTGTACTTATTGCCTTACATTAAATTCTTAAGTTATATGCCACTGTCTAATGTGATCAAACGAATAAAATTTCACTTTCGTTTTTTCAAGGTGAAAACGCATTTGACAGTTTTGATGAAGTTTTCTTAGGATATACTAACATTCAGTTTCATGCGGTAATGCATACTTGTTATCATGATATAGATTACATTATTCTTGTGTTGTAAATGGTAGTGCTGTCAGCATGAGATCTAGATGTCTTCGGTTCAAAATGTAGCAAGGGTGGTGGGTATCTAAAGCCAGAAAATGGTGATGTTCAATGCCTTTTGATTTTGGTTGCTATTAATCTATGATGATAAACAAACTCAAAATACAAGAACTACTGTGTTAATTTTTCATCAAATCTTCTATCATTGTTTAGTATTTAGTCATATATTTTTCTTAGAATATAATTAAAGACAACATCAGTTTACTGTTATTTAGAACCTTATTTACAACTGTATTTATAAAGATAAACAACCTTACTGTTTTATTATTACTGTTATGTAATGAGAAGAACCTGAATTGTATAACGTATTCTTAAGATACAATTTAAATCATTTAATTAAACAATTGCATAAGTACTTTTTTAATTTATAAGAATAAATAAATTAATGTAATGAAAAGAGCTTTCGAAACGTTTGCTTAATTGCATAAACGCTGCATGTTCTAATATACTAACCTTACTAAAAAGGGTTTCGCTTCCTCAAAATATTTTGTGGTATCAGGTTTACTGTCATATGGACTTATGGATAAAAATTAAGAAGGACTCTAATACTTCATGTAATTCAATTGTTTCGCACTTTTCTTACATAGTGATTAAAATGTATATGATGATTATAATTACTTTTATGATATGCAGTTGTTTTCATAATAGCCGATTATTTCATTTACGCCAATATAAGAAAATAATCCTGTACATTAGAAAATTTTAGCTCACAATCTTCTTTAAGATATAAAAGATAACAGGATACTCAACTGCTCTGACTAATATGGTACTTAATATTATCCAAACATTTACAGTTACAAAAAAACACACAGGTATGTTATACTTTTACTAATCCTTCAATTCTCAACTACATGTTTATTTATCAATGTGAATGATAGCTTGTATGAAGGGACCGAAATCCAAACTAAAAATCACTTTCCAAAAAAGTGATATTATTTTAGAAAGATATTTAGTTAAATGATAATTTATACATATCAATACAAATCGTTAATCTTATTTTGATGAGTATGTTTTCAGTTTATATATCGTGAATGAAACAGTAACCATGGCGTTGAAAATGTTTTTGTAGAATGTCTACGTTGAATACCTTTTATTTTTATCATAAGCTTAGAAATTTAACACGTCTCGTAACATATGATCAGTTGATAAAACGATCATTCATTTATATTGATTATACCCATCTTTGAAAAAAACAACGATGAATACCACTTTCCCATATGAAATCAATCGTTGAACAAATGAAGAAAGATATGTTGGTGAATAATCAAAGTTGACTGAAATTATTATATTTATATTTTAGGTGTACATTATTGGTTATAATAGAGTACCACCAAATGAAATTTTCAATGAATCCTCGGCTTGTAAGAGATTTGGAAAGCCCTAAATGAAATGGATATACTGTTACAGTATATATTCACTTAGTATTGTTTTTATTTTAAATCTTCCCATTAATGTTTAGGACTGCGATTAATCAGTCTCTAATTGGCATATGTGCATACTGTGCGTATTGCCTCGATATAGCGTTAATTCACAAGCATTGTAAGCAAAGATGGATAGTGAATAGCAGTTGAATGGAGGACGCGCGTTTCGTCCTATTTGGGACCCGTCAGCTGAATTTACTTGCATCTCAGAGTTGATGTTCCCTCTGGGACTCAAACCCAGTACAGGTTCATCCAGCTGACGAGTCCCAAATAGGACGAAACGCGCGTCTCGGATTCCGTTAGCAGCCACTATCCATCTTTGTTTACAATGTTACGGTATATGTAGTGTCTGAGTTAAAATTCATGCGTAGGTTTCTTTAATTCATTATAGGCCTCAAGGATAAGTGTTTTAAGATTGAAGAGATATAAAATAAATATCTAAATACTAAACTTAATTTAATTTCGTAGTTTTCTTTTGGTTTATTCATGTCTGAAAATAGTAGTTGACAATTCCTATTATAGATTCATTCATTTTATTCTACTCTGTATTAATTTTATTTTTCTTTATCATAAGAAATCTATTTGTTTAAACAGTGTAAACTAAGTTACTAACAACAATTAGTTAGGAATTCATTTTCAATCCACTTATATGACTAATATTTGGTCTAGAATATATTTTCACACAAATATATAAATCTTAGTCTTTATGATAAGTTAATATCAGTCAATCGAAAACTGAAAAAGAACGAGAAATAAACAAATGGTTCGTCAGTGTGTATGGATAATACAAAATCGGTGAAGTACGATTCTGGTGTTTTGCTTCAGTTCATTTGTAAAACAACGCGGTACTCATTTAGACGTCATTTCTAAGTAGCAATATAGTTCAGAACTTACTAGTTTACTTAGTTTACTGTATTTAAAAAAGACTATAAGTAACTCTAAATTGATAAGCTGATACCAAGTGAATAAAAACGACTCGTATTCCAAAACCCTTGTAAATTACCTAACTAATTTAATTGTAGTTCTGAAAATAATGGAGATAAAAGTTAAATTTGTTTGTAGAAGTGATTTAGTTTAAGTTCAAAAATACTGATTAAAAGAAATTGTTGGATATCACGTACGAGACATAGTAAAATTACGCTAGTACAATATCAAATATTGAGTGTCCATCTAGTAATAACAATAGAAATGAAATCATAGATTATACATTGCATCGCATCAGAAAAACCAACATAGCAGATTAACTACAACAGCAGTTAGAAAATTGTAAAAAAAGTGAATCAACATTAGAAAAATATTCTGTTTGAGATCAAGAACTGACCAACGTTATACCACTATTGAAAATTTGGGAGCACTGCACGGACATTTCGTCACAGTATGAGACTCCCCAGCAGTGCGCATTCACGATGCCGCACGTGGGATTCAAACCCAAATCCTTCGGTCTCACGCGCGAACGCTTAGACTGTAGACCACGGAGCCGGTATCTGATGGTGTTAATGTCTAACTTAAACCAATCCATGAAAAATATTCTATATTGACTTTATATATATATATATAATCTTCATTTTGCAGATTAAAATGATTTATGTATGGTTACAGATTTCGAATGTTGTGGTCCGAAATCTTTTGTAATGTCCCACCAACATTCATTGTATATGTTTGCGTGAGCTTTCATCTTATTGAGATTCTATACTTTTTCACTTTATGGCACCAATAATTTTTTTATTAGTTATATTATTCATGTTTAACTTCCATTATAGTGTTTATTACTATTTCATGTATTCTACTTTTCATTTTCTTAATTGTCTCAGTTTAATAAAAAGAAATGTAATAAACAGGTCAGCTACTCACATATTTTTCTGTTTTTCTTGTTTAAATGTATGAAAATAATGCGAACTGATTACTCATAAAAATGTAATACGAGACCGACCCGTGGATGAGATTGTGCAAGCTCATAGCACCCATCTGTAGATGAAAAATACAGGTAATTTCATTTGTCTCGGTTTAGAGACCGTTACAGAAATTACACTGCAAATAACCGATACTACTCATGATCTTACCTCAGAGTGCCAAGATATAATCAATAGATGAGATAGATATAAACAAGTTACAAACAATGTCAAATATCATTGTTCACTGTTAGAATTAAAAAAAATATTACTTACATGCGATTTATTAAATTTTAATTTTTTTTTAAACATGTTTTTTATTTTGTTTAACACAATCAAATTCATTTATGAATAGTACAATGTTCAATTGTAATGTGTTATAATTTGAAATGATTCATTACAATTATTTCAAGTAGAAAAACAAAATATCAAAATAGATCACCAATTTATTATTGATGAATTGTTTAAATAAGACTTATTTTGTTTATTATTATACTGATTAAAATGCAACACTTATATTCTGAAAGAATGGTATTATTGTTTTGTTTTAGCTTGTTCATTTGATTAATTCTGTTGTTTTTTTGGTTTTTTTTTAAAAAAAAAATAGTAATATATTAATATTCTTAATATAGAAACATACCTATTTAGATTTCTATTGGTTAAAATAATTATCATAATTATAACTGGTTTAATATTGTTTGTTATTATTGTTAATTTCTTAAATAGAATTTTATATAAATGAGACTAAGTGATTAACAAAACAAAAATTTAATGGTACATTGTTATAATAATAAATTTTTTATAAAAATTAATTATAAAATGAGAATTATATATTCAAAATGTTGAAATAATCCAGGTTAAGACTTATACTATAATGAATAAAGTTAGACATTAACACCGTTGGATGTGCCGGCTTAGTGGTCTAGTTGTTAAGCGCTCGCGCGTCAGGCTGATAGGTGCTGGGTTCGAATCTTGCGAGGCGGGCTTGTAGATTCACACTGTTGAGGAGTCTTACAATAGGACGAGTTTGCTGTCCAGTGCTTTCAGGTTTTGCATGGTGATCTAGCTTCAACTGATTCATGGTCTCAACTATTGATAACTATACATTTAATACATAGTTTGCACATATTCCATCAATTGTTTTTTACACAATTCATGATTCTTTCAATTCTATTGTTATTAAAATTACTCTCTATTTCTTTTTCTGTTCTATTTATCTGAATCTTTTTTAATTATCTGCTAACATGTATTCCAATTTTGACTGGTGCTATTTACTGCTTATATAAGTAGTATATACAACAATCAATATTTAGATCATAAGTATTGAGTTATTCAGAAGAATGGGAACCATTCATTCGAGCAGCACATAAATTAGAAAATGATTTAGATATATAGTAGTATTTCCTTTTTTTATGTAATTATCTTATTAGTAGATGACTAAATTGTCCTGGGCTATAAACTAACTATATTTATCTAAACGTGAGCACAGATTTACTTAATAAATCATTTGTATGAAATCAGCTGTAAGTGAAGTGAATGAATAATAATGTTAAGCACAACGAGGTAAAGAGAAAGTACAGTCTGACGAAACGTAAAAAACAATATTTGTTTGAACATATAAGTTTACATCATTGGCGATCAGTGGAGTTGATCATAGGCAGATTTATACAGTTGTCAATAGTGGCATCAGATGATGACCGTATTATAACGCGAATCGATTGAAGTCGAAAGTATGTACTATTAGATCCTAACTTCTTTATCCGAGGGTATATAATGTGATACAATGCCCAAACAGGATTAATTCGATTTTTTATGTAATTATCACTATTTAACATTGAAGAATCCTAAGCTAAAACAAAAGACAGCGCATTGTTTCTTGGTTGATTTAGTTTTTTAGATAATAAAAATAACCGGTCAACTCATCAAATGTTTGGTTATCAATTAACTACGTCTATTAGCAGTTGATTTGACAAAGATTTCAAAATTATTTTCATGTGATATAACTACATTCTTCAACTTTTATTTGTTTGGTATGGACCGTTTCTCCCCTAGTTTAAGCTATTGTCTGAGCATAATTTTCAAAGCATTTATGAGATTTTTTTAAAGCTCTTGGTTTATTATGGCGTAAATTTTTGGATGGTTTACAATTGTGTCACACTACTTAGTAAAAAAATACGTCCAAACATTCTTTTCTGTAAAAACACGAGAATTTATTTATTTGTGTTGCAGTAGATTTCGCTAGTCATTAAGTTTCATAATAATTGTTGTGCGTAAAACGTTCATTAAAGTGTCTGTGCTTAGAATTTTCCAAACTATCACAGTTATTGATGAGGAAAAGTTAGTTGTTTCATCGAGAAACTGGGGTTTTTTACATTAATTTTTAGTGGTTGGTTAGTTTCTAATCTACTGATCATGTCATTTTAAAGGAGTAATATCTAGTTGATGGTGATGGTATACGTTTAATATTTATACGTTTGAGTGTCAAACAAAATTTACAATCTGAAATATGAATCGGCAACTGGCAACAAACACAATTATTAAAGTTCTAAGAATTTCTAAAAATACATGACGTCATTGATGCAGAAAAATTGAAACAATGTTGTTTGCCAATTTACAGTTCTTTGGAATGAACAAACTTATAGTTATGAAAGACGCTAGGATTTAAAAAATATTGGAACTGTGATAACGTCATTATTTAACGGTGTAAAAATGTAATTTAGCTACATTTTTTTAGTGCAAATTCATGAAATTGAGTCTGCTTTGAAAATCATAACTACTCGATTTTTTAATCGAATTTGTGTATCTTGAATGTTTTGTTTAATTCACTTCATACGAAAAATCGATTTGTGTGGAAATCTGAAAGTGATTTTCATCATATTCATTATGTATTATTTCGAACACTATGTCGAAGATCAATTACTGAGAGTTGAACATATTCAGACCTATTATGATATTGATTGTACTGAAAGTATTCTGCATTGTTTTCTTTCCACTGTTTAAGATTATGTTAATTTTATTTCGGTTATTAATTCACTCTGAAGAAGTGATTTACAGTAAGTCACGTATCGTTTTAAATAGAATTCCCTACAAATTGTATATTAATCCGTAAATTTATACCCAATGCTCCATTAACTTGAAACAATATATTCGTTTGCAAATCTTCCATCAGTTTGCCTTTAAAAGCTTTATCATACTTCCAGTTTTCGATTTCTTTGTTTCCTTTTCTATTTTCTCCAATCCAATCTTCTCAACCTTCTTTTGACAGACATTCTACTTCTGATTAATGTCACATATTACTTATGTCGACAGACATTGGCATCATACACCACAACATTACCAAATAGATAGCTAACTGACTTCAATTTATCTTATATGTAAATAGATCTTTAGGAAATTAGCTAAATTTTCAGAATTTGTTGAAGGAATGTCTGATTAACAAGAGAAAACTACGTTAGTCACTAATTGAAGACAAAACTAACTTAATGACCAGTCAGGTGCTCATAAGAGAAAAAATGTTCGAAATACTGCGTTTGTGAGTTTAGGAACTCATTGTGACACAAAATACTTGATTAGGATAAAAATTTATATTTGTTTCATAGATAACTTATAAATTATTAGAAAACTTCTAATGGGAATATTTATCACAAAGTATTTAAACAGTATAATCATAAAAAGTCATATGTTTGTATCATTAAAGTCATGAACCCAAATGGCAAACTACTTAGAGTAGTTTGACTGTAAATCTTACACTTAAATTAATATTTTGTAGTATATACTGTTCAAAACTAGAAATCAGTATTCAAAAATGTGAGTTCAGCTGCTGAGTATCTCGTTGAGTGTAATGGGTTTGATCTTAACTTTGCATAACTATCAAGGTGTATAATCTCTGAACATGTTTTTGAACGTTTAAAAGATGATGGACTTCTCAGTATCATATTTTAATTTCAACATATTAGGAATCTATTTAACTGACACAGCCTTAAGTTTCTGGACATGACATATTTAGATTCAGTGTAAAAATTCTTGCATGAACTGTGGCAGGACTAAAAATGATTATTGGGGACATAAATTTAAACGAAGTATATCAACTTGGGCTAATTATATAATGTGTGAGCGAGAATGATAATGATTGGTTGTTTTGCTTAGTCAGACATGCAGGTAGTCTGACAGGTGTCAGATGAGTTACATATTCCCCTATCCTTATTATTTATTATTAATGATTGTTGTTGGACTCTGTCGGGTTTTGGTGTGGAAATATATTTACGTTCTAGTCAGGCTAATCACGTGTTCTTGATCTGAGTCGTGTTGATGTCTTGTAGAATAGAAACTAGGAGGGAATCTGGTATAGATATTCGTTTAAGGCGAATTAACGTCCCATTCATGTAAAAAGGAAAGCGGACCGTTATAACAATATATTCTTTGAAAATAATGATAAGATGAATTCAAAAGACACGAAAACCAGAACCGTAGAGTAACCAAATTACATTTGATGACCCTCTTTGATACTGTCGCAGTACTGTAAACCGAAAACCTTATTCAGATCGCGTAACGTCAATCATCAAAAATAAATTAGTGAGAAATTCAGTTCACTTGATTCAAAGTAAAAGTATCGATCTGTCAAAACAATGAATACAAACTCAAATAATGATTAAAGTCAAACAGAGTATATTGAGATAGAGTTATCAAAAGGATTCAGTTAAGAACAAGTGAAATAACTCAGTTGACTCAAATGAACAAATCCAATTAGTAGGAAAATATAGCTTCGATGGCAGAAATTCAAAAAGGCAAAGGAATTCTAGTTTCAACTTGGTAGAATAATGTAGATTAGACTTTAGCAATCTAATAACTTCATTGTTTCATTAGTTTTACATAAGGTTATGATAGTCAGCTTTGATGAATCTAAGTATTCTGTTTTGTTTCCTATGTATGGTTTAGACTTGTGTTAATTCAGTTTGATCGTTTATTTGTTTGAGAAGATACGACATACACCTAGCCACAAAACGCCAGAACTTCAATTTTCTACCGGTCATTAGTTACGTTATGTTAACCAGAGTTCAGATATATATTTGTGTGGTATTTTGCATTTATTGCATGTGGATGTGCCATCACCTAATTAACTGTTGTGTGGGCGGGAGAAAATATAGGCCTCAACATACACAAGATTCTCAAATTAAACACGGCGAACATCAACCCAATCACACTTGACAGATAAACTTTGGAAGAGGTGGAAAGTTTCATGCACCCGAGCAGCATCATTAATAAACAAGGAGGATCTGATGCAGACTTAAATGTGAGGATCGGCAATGCAAAGACCACATTCCTACAATTGACGAACATATGGAACTCAAAACAACTGTTAACCAATATCAAAGTCAGAGTATTCAATAAAAAAATCAAGAAGGTACAAGTATCTATAAACAATTGTCTACGTAAGATAATTAACATTCACTTGCCGGATACCATCAGCAACAGCCTACTGTGGGAGAGGA